TCACTATGTAGCCCACGCTGGCCTTGAACTCTCAATGATCCTACTGCCTCAACCTCCAGAGTGCTTGGATTACAGACGTGCACCACCGTACACAACAGAAGAAAATGTTGTTTTCTTCTGAGTCAGGAACTACGTACTTCTTGGCTCAGGATATTTTCTTAAAAGGATTCCTTTCTGATTGATTATAACTGATACTATCTCTTTATCTGAAATTTCAACTACAGACACAGAAAATACTCCCAGATGCTTCTTCACTATAGTTTAGAAAAGTATCTGCGTACATCAAATATCACCATGAGGACTTTGTTCATGAAATCCTAATGAATGTTCCGGGTCACACAAAAGTAACACTGTACAGCTAGCATACTAGGGAGTTTATGCTTACTCTACCAGGTGCACTGCTGCTGCATTTGCTGAAAACATTCTAGTCAAAGCTCTTGGTTGTTATTGCCAGTGCTTGGTAAGGACAAAAGTGCTGATGTCTGAATATTGTCTTTCAGCTTCCTTGTCATTTCTGAAAATATCTACTACCTCTGAAGAAAGGATGTGGGGTTTCCCTGAAGTCGGAGCAAACTTCTTTTTTCCTAAGAAAACTAGGACTTCTGAAATCCCTTCTGATCTCTTGACAGATTAGCCTATCATTTCCTGTCTAAACACAGATTTGTGATTCTTTCTACAACTTGTCTAGTACTTGACAAGATTGACCTCTTCTCAGTTAAACATTTTTCCAAATGTTGGACAATGTATCATATGCTGTGAGAGCCACAATGTCCACTCATGATCATAAATTACTATGGGCTCAGGACCCAGGAAGCCAAGTGCCTCACCCAAGTTCCTTCCTCAGTATGGTAGAAGGGAAGAAAGCCAACAGCCTCTGCGGTTCATGAGGCAGGAGAAGTTTGCCAAACAGTGTTACTCCATACTGGTGCTTGAACATTGAATCTGACCCAGCCTTTCCAGGGACTCAGAATACAGAACACAAAACAGAACACAGAATACAGAGCACAAAGTAGGCAAGGGAAGGAAGTAGGGGATTCATCTGGGTAATTAGTAGCAGCTGTGAAACAGAAATCATGGGTGAGTGGAAGCCAGAAGAATAAAGATACTGAGAGAAGGTGATAGAAAAGGCAAAGATGAAGAGAAGCTGAAACACCAGAGAACTGAAATAACCAGAGGGCAGAAAAATGAATTCAGCTCCAGAAGGTACAACTGGGGATGCTCATGAGCCTCTAGAATTATCTATATAGCAAGATTATGAACTATCAGGACCATGGAGGGGGTAAATATATAGTTATGCAATCACAAATGGATATCAAGTAATTGCTACTATAAAATGGATAAATTATGAAAATATTATCCTAAGTCAAAGAAGCCAGGAGCAAAGGACCAAATGCATGAATCCATTTATACAAAATATCCAGAATAGGCAAACCCATAAAGACAGAAAGTATATTAATGATTTTTGGGGGCTGGATGTAAGGGGATGATATGTGGTTTTGGGGGGGAAATCACAAAAATTGTTCTAAAATAGTTTGGAAGGACAATTGGAAAACTTTGCAAATATACTAAAACCTGCTGAATTTTATAGTTAAAGGGACAGATTGTGTGATATGTGAATTATATCTCAATAAAACTAATTGAAAAGAATAAATGGGTAATGTAAGAAAATATACACAGAGGTACAGAAACTCTAAAAATTGAAAGGAAGTGCTAAAATTAAAAAATACTGTAACAGATATGAAGGATGGCCTAGATGGATTCCTTAGTCATTGGAGTGGGCCAGTGTGTCAGCAAACTTCATGATATAACAAAAGAATTTTCCAGGTGCCACGGCTCTGGCAGGCAGGCTGAGAGCACACGGTGTGCCGCTGACCATGTGGTTGAATCTGCTTTTGTCCGTTGAAGGGACTCTGACTGCAGCTGAGGCATGATGTCACTGGCAGGGAGGTCAGAGGGCAGATGGGATGGCATATCTAGAGATTTTTTAACAGCTAGATTTACAGAAAGTATGACTTGCAACAGAGATGAAATTTTATTTTTAATAATAAAAGATTATGCAAATTTTTTAAAAGCCACGACAGAATATCCAGGAACTATTTGGCAACATTGGAAGTTACAAGATATACATAATTGGAATCCTAGAAGAAGGACAGGAATGAGTAGATGAGATATTTGGAGTAATAAATAACATTAGTATCCATATTTTTGTGCAAGTTTCTTGGTACACAAGTACACCCATTTCTGCCAAAAGTGTGTATCTTTAAAATAATGCCAAACTATGTTCCAAAGTTTGCTGTACCAATTTACAGTTGAACTGTCCATATTGGAGTTACATTCCCTCCACATCATCACCAATACCTGCTATTCTCCAGCTTCTTGATTATACCCTGAGTAGCTATGTAATGCTATTCATTTTGGACATCTTCTTTTCTGAAGTCTCTCACAATCTATTTCGTCTTCTGTATTTAACTAATTGATTTGTAGTTCTTTATATAGTCTAAATAACAATACATGTTCTGTCTACTTCTTTGATTCCAGCTTTGTCCCTTTGGTTCCACAAAGCTGGGAAGAAGGACTACTGTACTTTTCAACTCTATCTTCTACTTCTTTCATAACCAGCAGATAATTCTTAAAAGGAAAACTGATCCAAGTGATAAGCTTAGCACTCTGACTTCTTCTAGAGATTGACCCCATAATTTGTTATCACCTAGTAAGTTTTCCCATGCTTTCAAGCAGATATTTTAATTTTTCCAAACTTTTCTAGCAATTCTAAGTCGTAGAGTTGCACTGAATTATCTTATCAACCATTATCAAAAGTGCAGGGTCCAGTCAGATGAAACCTATGGTCACCCTCTTTAATCTGTTTCTATTCAGCTATGAAAAGCCTGACAGTATATTCATGGTTCCATAGGCATACGGAGTGAACCTGACCCCAGAAATTAACCTTCCACAATGTTAAGTACAATATCCTTTTACACATAGTATTTAGTATGACAGCAACATTTCAACTTTTATTTTACCTTCAGAAAACATGAAGTGAATCTATTACTTAATTATATACCATTGAGTAAATGTAACTTTAATTATAAGAATCTCCTTTTCTCTCTAACAATTTAAACAACTGAAAAACTTTTCCTGTTGCATAATATGAGTAATATTCAACATTTTGGGGACTTATGTTCCTCTTCTTTGAAGTTAAACTATACTCTCACATAATTTCAGAAATGCCTTCTTATTTTATGATTCTGTAACTTTGACCATGGATCAGAGGCTGAAGTTTTAATGAAAGAATCCAAAGATGAGAATAAAATAAGCTCTTTAAAGGCCATATACTACCATGAGTAAGAATGGCTGTGATATTATTTGCAGGAGGTGGGCTTAATAGGAAAAAGTAAAAGGATACCATACATAACTCTAAAGAATGTAATATTCATGGAAAAAACACAAATAACTAGGAATGACTGAGCCTTTAAATTTGATAGATGAAGCATATCTCATTGCTTAATCTATAACCAACCTAAGCCTGTATGCACAATGGACAACTTTCATATTCAAATAGTACACCATTGTGCACTATTCCTAAGATCCAGCGCAAAGCAAAGGCTTTTAAGTCACAGAGCTGAGATCATTACTCAGCTCCAACTCTGAGTACCCATAGCCAAACTTCTTAACCTCACTCATCATTCTTATTTCTTAAAAGCCAAAATTCCCATAACTATTGTATAGGTTTAATGAAGATGACTGTTGTCAAGTGTATAGAACAATGCCTACAACTCTCTCGGGATAAATGAGTGATAGTTGTGAGAGTGAACCCTGACTGCTAAGGTGTTTTGTATTTTATTAATATAGAATATAGAAAATGTCACATAGAAGAAGAGTCAAGAGGTTATGTGAGCAGTTAAAGTAAGAGTCAGCCTTACCAAGGAAAGCAGAGTTTGGATTATTCTTGGTTGTAATGTTCCATAAAAAGAATTTAAATTCCCAGAAGGCTCATGGAAACATTTCATTTGAAGGCTTCTTATCTAAAGTGAGAAGGTGAGGAACTGCAATCACTTTATTCTCTATGAAAGACAATTCTTACTCTCATATTGCTAAATTGGCAGTATCAGTGACTGGTCAGTAACCCAGCCTGCATAAGACTTACTCCAAAAAAGTCCTAAAATACAAAGTTAAAATTTCTAGTGGATGTGAGAATTATTGGCTCCAAGGGGATGATCTCTTATTATTGAAAAACATCAGAAATGGAGAAATAGTTTCATTTTCTGTAGTTGCAGAGAGCGTACTGCAAAATATTTTTATCTAAGAAATAATAATGTGACAAAACAGTTTTTGTTTTACTCTAGGTAGGCAATAAATATAGTGACAGTGATTTAATACAACTGTGTGAACTTCTTTCTCCTTACTGACACAATACATGCATTATTTGTAACCCATCCAAGTGGCTGCTGTAAATTTACTGACCTTGTACTCTTTACAACAATCTATTTGACGTCATCTGTATGATACACCCATGCATAGCAAATCTGCTATAGAAATCAAAGAACCACATATAATCTTCTAGTAGAGGAGTCCATCTTAAGACTGGAATTTCCAATGAGGAAATTTAATCAATTTTTAGTCCTAGAATATTGAAGCTAGAAAAATCTCAAGGATCATCTAAGCCAACCTTCTCATCTAACAAATAAGGAAACCAAACCTCAGAAAGATGTGTATGCAAGGTCACACAATTAGAAGAAAAACAGAGACAACTCAGGTGTCCTGACTCTACAGATGATGCTAATAATAGTAGGATGGCAATCAGTTTAAAGTAGATAAACCATTCTAACCAACCACAGATTCACAGAATATTGTAATATAAATTATAGAGCAGATTAGTCAGCAAATAATTAGAATCTTAATGAAAGCAGAATGAGCTTAATGAAAATTAAAAAACCAGGCTAATGATGATAAACAGAAATTAGTAAACAGTTAATACATGAGCATCATTTTTCTCCACTTACTTTTTGTTGGTTTACAGATGAATTTGATGTGGTAGGAGGGTTATATAGAGGTGCCTCATCTCTCCCAGTCTAGGTCTTAAAGATTCTGGAAAGAAACCATGAATGTCAGGAAGTAACAGAGAGAGAAAAGTAAATATAAATGGGCAATTATATTTATTTCAGAAAATTTAAGCAAGAGGCCATGTACTTAAAGTGATTTTGCTAACTAGGTGTCCTAGAAAGTGATTTGGCCTCAAAATCCAATTTCAGCAATCTACTTCATGCAAACCTAAAGAAATTATGTACAGGGGGTTTGGAATGAGGTTGTCACTGTTGAGAACATTCATATTTATAAAAGATTCAAACACAAAGATCATGCCTTGTATAACTATCTCTTTGGAGGCTGTTGTTGAAGGATATAGCTATAAAGTCAATGTATTTAGCATAATAAAAATTCATTTAAACATTGAGAAACATTTTCATATGAATTCTAGATCACAATTTTAAAAAAATCTACTGGAATAGTGGCTGCAATAAAAGGAATATGGCCTGCACAATCAGTATTAAGACACTAAATTTCACTAGCAGAACTAGTCCACCCTCAGTGGCCAGTAAAAATGTCCATGATCGAACTGATGTTGAGGTAGATCACATATACTCTCAAGAATGCCAACAAAACTATATCAATATGTAGTACAACAAGCATTGTTAATTTCCTACCACTTTGTTTGTAACTCTGTATTGTCTGTACTGTTCTTTTGCTATTTTGTAAAAGGTTGTCTGTCTGTTAATGTTTTCCTCCTTTTATTTTTAAAATAAAAAAAAAATTTAAAAAAACTATTTCAGTACTGCCATAATTTGTCTTTATATATTCTAATGTCATCACCACAATATACAAAACCTGGCAATATATTCCAAGTAAAATTACAATACGATACTGTGGAAGCTGCATAAATATAAATTTAAACAAAGGGACCACAATAGATAATTGAAATATAAACACACATACATATGCAGAGATTTGTTTGTTGACTAAGAAATCCAGGAAATTCAAAGAGGAAAAAGATTATTTTTTCAAAGTACTGAACAATTAGATATCCATGTGAAAAAAATGAATTTTGGCCTTTACTTCACCTTCTGCACAGAAATCACCTCCAAATGGAACATCAACCTGAATATAAACTTTAAAATCATTAAACTTCCAGAAAAGACACAAGAAAAACTCTTTGTAACCTTCAAGCAAGCAAATGTTTCTTAAAACAGGATACTCAAAAAAGAACCATTTTAAAGAAGTGATTATCTATGGAAAAATTTAAAACTTTTGCTCTTAAAAAAAAGTCCATAATAAGCTAGAAAGGCCAAAGCAAAGACTGGGAAAGTTTTTTGTGATACATATATACAACAAAGAACTCATATCTAGAATATATAAAAAAACTCTTAGAACTTAATAGGAGCATAAAGAACACAACTAAAGAAGCAATGTAAGCAAAAGATCAGACCAGACACCTCACAAAGGAAGACACACGTATGGCTTATAAAGATGTGCAACATTATTAGTCATTAAGAAATTCTAATTAAAACAAAAATGAGATGCTGCTGGTAGGCCACAATAGTTGTTAATATTCAAAAGATGGAAAGTGCAAACTGATGGTGTAAATGTGTAGCAACTGAAACTCATATATTACGGCAATGTGAAATGGTTCAAACACATTGGAGAATATTTTTAACCAGAAATTTCACTCTTAGGAAATTACTGAAGAGAATTAAACATGTACTTATGTAAAATCTTGACATAACTATTCCTAAAAGCTTTATTCATAGTAGTTAAAAGGATAAGCAAAAAAGAAAGGATAAGCAAACTGTGGTATGTAAGATAATGGGATACTATTCTGCAATAAAAAGAACTACTGAGACACAGCAAACTCACAAAATTTCAAAATCATGCTAAGCAAAACAAGTGAGAACCACGACAGCAAATACTGAAGGATTTTCTAAATATAAAACTATATAATGTGCAAAACTAATCCAGAGTAGCAGAAATCTAATTAGTAGTCATGTGGGACCAAGGGTCAGGACCTTCCTGCAAAAGAGCCCGAGCAAATATTTGGTGATGACACAAGTGTTCTATATTTTTATTGTGGTGTTGGTTACATAGGTTTATAAATTTTTCAAAACTTAAAAGTATAACAGAACTCTCATAATGACAATCAGTTAAAAAGAAAAGAAGTCAAAATATCAAAGAAGATATAAAGTTAGGTACATGACACAATATGAGTCATATTTTCAAAAGTCACGCTGGTCTCTATTTTGAGAAGAGATTGAAAAACTAGAAGCAAGTTTTCTTCGAAATATTCTCTCCACAGGATCATTGTGAGTTTGAGGCCAGCCTGAGTTACAAAGTGAGCTCAAGGTCAGCCTGAACTGCATAGTGAGACCCTGTCTCAAAAAGACAAAAATAAATAAATACATACATACATTCATATATACATATTCTCTCCACATAAAAGTCTGCCCTGGCTCTCTTGTCTAAAGTAATCATATATATACCAATTACAAAGATATGCCTGCAGGGGCTGGGGATTTAGCTCAGCGGCAAAAGTGCCTGCCTGGCAAGCGCAAGGTCGTGAGTTCGGTTCCCGGTACCAGAGAAAAACCAAAAAAAAAAAAAACAAAAAAAAAAAACAAAGATATGCCTGCAGACCTAGAAAATGTATATACAGATACATTATTGGAATTAATACAATATTAGCAATATATCTAGATACAAAATCAACATCTACAAATTCTGTTTCTAAATAATAGATAAATAACTGCAAATCAATTAACAACAGTATTTATAGTAACATCCAAATATCAAATGACTAGGAAGAAACTGGTTACAAAACTTAATGAGAGAAATCAAATAAGACCTAAATCAATCAAGGGGGTATAATCATTTTAGTGAAGTTGAAACTCAGTGTCATCAAGGTGTTAAACACCCACCAACTCCAGGCCTGTCTGTGTTTTGTTTCCCTGTGGTCACAGAGCAGCAGAGGCACCAACCAACTGCCTGACGTGATTGTGAATGAGGACAACACCCCAGGAGAGACAATAAGCCAGAGGAGTCTTCAGGGAGAAATAACAGACTGAGCCAACAGCACTAGCCCCAAGAAAAGCCTATAGCTACTATAAAGTATAAAAGCAATGTGGAATTTACTCTAAAAGTGACTCCTTTGCACAAGGCTACAGTTGGAAAAGCCACTTTAGGGTTTCCAGTGCTACCCTCCCACAGTGACTGGCTGAGAGACAGCTATGGGAGATAGCCTTGGAGAGGTTGCAGAGTAGGCGTAGACCCCCTGATAAATTTAAACTGAGGCCAGGAAGAACATGGGCCCTACCTTCCATAGTGAGAAATCAAGCCCAGCAAGTGTAGCTTTCAGAGGCATCTGGACCTGAAAGTGTTGGCACTAACTCCAACAGTCAGCCTGAATCTCTGCCCACTGCCTGTATTCAAGAGAGACCAGTGATCTGATTGTTTTCTCTATCTACTAACATAAGCAAGGCTTGGATGTTTGCCACCGACTGGGATGTATTGACAGAAGGGTCTCCGGACAAAAGTGAAGGGACTGGCCACCTCACAAACTCACAGGCCACAATGTGCAGAGAAAATAGGACTTGCTGGATTCTAAGACTGCAGATTCTAGAAAAAGAATCTCACTCAGTCAAAAAGACAAAGGATTTATCTTACTCAAAATTTTTTCTTTGTTTTCCTTTCATTATTTTTGGGAAGATTGCATTTTAAATTCTTTTTCCTTTATATTTTTTCTCTTCTTATTTTCTTTTTTTCTTTCATTTTACTCTCTGTTTTTTCTTCTTTTCTCTTTGTTTTTTTCTGTTACTTATATCTAGTACTGCTAATTTCCTTTTATTCCTCAATGCGATCCTTTATCTCAATTTTCCCTCCTCTTCATCTTCTATTGATTAATTTTTCAACTTCTATTTTTCTCCATTCTCTGATTCCCCACCCCCTTATCCTTCCTAGTATAAACATCAAGCCTTATGACTCTTTAGATGGTTAGTAAACTCTGTGTTCTATCATTAGTAGAAGTATATGGCTGCATTTAGTAGCTACTTACTGTAGGTCAACATTTGGTTTGTTTTAGTGTTTATTTTCTGATTTTCTTGCTATTACCAAGGTGACACAGCTGTTGCTATTGTTTTATTTTCTGTAGGCCAATAACTGGCTTGCCTTTGTGTCACTACCAATACTATGGCCCATTCCCAGAGAAGCAGTTACTGGGCCAAATACACTGCAGTTTCCTTTCCCAAATGAATGGAGATGGTTGAATCATGGGACAGAGGCAAACATATATAGTTACCTATGCCTAGAGTATACCACTGAAAAGCAGACACTAACTAAAGAGGTCATTGGGCTGGGGATTTAGCTCAGCGGCAAAAGCGCCTGCCTGGCATGCGCAAGGTCGTGAGTTCGGTTCCTGGTACCGGAGAAAAACCAAAAAAAAAAAAAAAAAAAAAAAAAAAAGAGGTCATTGCCAAGCATGGTGGTGCACACCTATAATCCCAGCATTTGGGAGGCTGAGACAGGAGAATTACCATGAGTTCAAGGCCAGCCTGGGCTACATAGTGAGTTCCAAGCCAGGCTGAACTGCATAGTGACACCCTGTCTCAATAAATAAATAAATAAATAAATGTCTCCATACTACCAACAAAGTCTTCCGCTATAATCAAGCTTCAGAACAAAACAAAAAGACAAGAAGACAAGGCAGCAAAATGCCTCTAAAAACTCCCAAATGCCCCAAAGCTGATCCATGAGGTATTGAGGGAAAGAAAATAACGAGCCACATAGCAGAATTAATTGAAGTGATAACAGAGTAGATATTTTATAAAGCAGACCAATAAGGTGCTTGGCAAGTTGAAAGAAGATATAACTGAAAAGATAATGGAAATAAAACAATCAGTGAGTCTACAGAAGACACCAATAAAAAGGTAGCTGAGCTGAACAAAAATGTGAATGTCCACTACAGAAAAAATTTAGCATCCATTAAAAGTGTAAAGCAGAAGTTCATGAGATTAATAATTCTATTGAAATTATGGGCAGAACTGACC